AGAATGCCTATGACTTCATGAAGGGATGCAAGGAATCACAAAGTAACTCTATAGAGTAGAGTGTCTATAGTAGTTAATTTCTTTATCAGGATAAAGATATTTTCAGAATACATACTTGACACAGAGAAGGGACCATTAAAAGGGGAAAGTTTGCAATTAGTCTTCTTTTCACTTCTGTATTGCCCACTTGCTAGATTCACTATTTATCATTTTTCTCAGTGTCATAGAGTCTATCTTTATTTCTGTACCCTCCTAATTACTCCATTGGCTTCAAGTTTGAATAATTTCAATTCTAATCCAGATTTGTCTCCTGAGCTTCCATAGTCCATGATCTATGGGACACCTACCGATATCTCATTCTAAGTCTATTTAGTATACACTAAGTTCATCTTATATCCTCACTCTTATATCTATCCTTTTTCAAATGATCCCTATCTCAATAAATGCAAAAATTCCACTTTCCAACTAATCGCTCAAATTAGAATAATCTTTGTTTTCTATACATTTCCCTTTACTCTTTACCTTCAAAATATTACCAATGAACATAATTTATCAATTTTACTTTCAAATAATGCCTGAATATTTCTCTTTTCTCTAACTTCAAGGCATCATGAAGGTCTTAGCATCTATCACTTCTCACTTCTGTTTCTGTGACAGCTTTCCACCTGGTCTTTCAGTCTTCACTCTTGATCTATTGTAACTTACTCTCTTAAGCAGAGCACTCTTCTGGGAATAGAAATCTGATCATGTTATTACTTAGTTGAAAACACTTCATGTTTTTCCCCATAGCTGTTAGGAAACTGTACTCCTAAATATATGTACAAACCACAAATGTAAATTTGTATATATGGAGACACATTCAGATACTCATGCATGCCTAGGAGATTACATTTATTAATATAGTAGTAATTCCTTGATTTATAACAGAATAATATCTATCAAATTACATTCGTTGTTCTGCCCACCATTTCTCACCAAACAGACATGCAAACATATTTTTATACATATGAACAAATATAAATTTATGAAGAAAAACAGGTTTTGCAGCAACCATAACAGTTTAAGTAATGTATTATTTTGGTGCCTGAAAAATGTCAGTGCTAAGGGATGCCACTTTAAAAGTATTCATCTCCTACTCTTGTTCCATATGTACTCTGCACTTTTAATAGGAATTGTTAACATTACATTAGTTTTACATTATTGACATAGTTTATCTGAAGTACCAGATAAAGATAGTTAGGGTAGGCCTGTAAAATACACTAAATGTGTGGTCACAGAGCAAAAGTTAAGAGAAGGTTACAGGCATGGAACACATGTTAACAATAATTATTTACAGTGTGAAGATCAGGACTCATTAACTTGGATTGTGTATGGATAAAGCTGGTTTCAGGGTTCTTATCCTGTTCCTGGTCTCTTAATTACTATGCTGACAGATATTTGTATATTCCATAGAACTTGATATCATGATACATCATGGGAGTAAAGGTAGATTGTTTTCAGAACTTAAATGTGTTTGGTGTCCTAAATGAGTTCAATAAGATAAACTTAGATGCCTAGTACATTATATATTAAAGTCATGAAGCTGCAATATTTTTCCAAATAGCTTTATAAGCCACAACCATTATTAACCCAGATACTTAAAAATATATCTTTGATATGAGACTTTGAGCACTGCAGATCTATGATTTCACTCTGAAAACTCTATGTGGTCACCTTTTGTTCTGCCTTCCTTCCATTATTGCAATAATGTTCATTAAATGCTCATGCTGTTTTAACTTCTAGAATCACAGCAGTAAATCAATGTGCCAAGACCCTATTCTTATAGAACTTACACTGCATTAGTGTGGGAAGGATAATAGACAATATGCAAGTGAAGATAAATAGATAGAGAAAGAGAGAGATGATAGAAAAAATTGATAGATCACAGCAGGGTTTGAATAGTCACAGGAAGGAAATAATACATAAAGAGAAACAAAAAATATTCAGGCATAAATGTTTCAGTGCTTTCCAAAGGATAGTCAAAGAAGTTCTCTTTGATCATGTAAAATTTGAGCAAAAGCCTGAGTGAAAATAGGAACAACTTCGATGATATACAAAAGCAAAAATATTATTCAAGGAGAAAACCCGAGATAGGACTGAGAATTAAAAAGAGGGTCAGTCTAGCTGGCTAGATGGAAGTTAGGGAAGGTAGAGGAGTTATAGATGACCAAAGACCAACTCTCAAGTTGAAAAAAGAAAAACCAGAAGAAAAGCTTCAAACCTAAACCTGTAATACTTAAGTATTTTATGGAGTCCCGGTGAGGCACTATAGGATAAGCATTGGGCTGCTAACTGGAAGCTGCTAGCTAGTAGCTTCTCAGAAACCATATACAGAGTTACTAAGTCTGAACTTACTCAACAGCATTTAACAACAAAATATTGAATGATACAGAAAGCATCAAAAGAAAACAGAAGGAATACAGAGTCACTGAAAAAAAAAAAAAAAGGTAGAAATACAACCATTTCAAGAGGTAGCATATGATCAAGAACCAATGGTACTGAGGGAAGAAGTCCAAGCTATACTGAAGGTGTTGGTGAAAAACAAGGTTCCAGGAATTGATAGAATACAAACTGAAATCTTACAACAAACTGTTGTATCACTGGCCAACAAATTAGAAGAGATCCATATTTATGCCTTTGTCAAAGAGTGGTGACCCCATAGAATGTGAAAACCATCTAACAATGTCATTAATACCATATGCAAGTAAAATTCTTCTAAAGACAATTAAAAAACAGTTGCAATGCACTGCAGCAAGGGTGCCAGAAATTCAAACCAAATTCAGAAGAAGATGTGGAACTAGGGTTATCTTTGCTGATGCCCAGTGAATCTTCGCTGAAAGCAGAGAATTCCAGAAAGATGTTTACTTGTGCCTCATTGACTATGTTAAGGTTTTCAAATGTGTGGATCATGGTAAACTACAGATACCACTGTGAAGAATAGATGTTTTAGAACACTTAATTGTGCTCATAAAGAACCTGTATGTAGGCCAAAAGTCAGTTATTAGTATAGAACAAGGGATTACTGAATGGCTTAAAATAAGGAGAGGTGTGTGCCAGGGTTATATTTCACCATACTTACTCAGTTTGTATGCTGAACAAATAATCTGGAAACTGGATTATTTGAAGAACAATGTGGTATCAGAGTTGGAGGAGGAATCACTAACAACCTGTCGTATGCAAATAATACAACTTTGCTTGCTGAAAGCAAAGAGAGGACTTAAGATATTTAATGATGAAGATCAAAGACCACCCCTTAATGTAAGGAAAACAAAATTCTTCACAGCTGGACTAAAATATAACATCATAATAAATGGAGAAGAGATTGATGTTGTCACAGATTTTATTTTGTGGAGCCTCAATCAACCCTCATGGAAACAGCAGTCAGCAAATCAAATAGCATATTACATTAGGAAAATCAACTTCCACAAAACCTCTTTAAAGAGTTATAGAACAAAGAGATCAGTTTGAGGACTAAGGTACACCTGACCCAATTCATGGTATTTTCAATTGCCTCATATGCATGTGAAAGTTGAGCAATGAATAAGGAAGACTATATTAAAATTAGTCAATTCAAATTATGGATGTATTATCAGATATATTTTGGACATGTTATCAGGTAAGACCAGTCCCTGGTGAAGAACATCATGCTTTGTAAAGTGGAGGGTCAGCAAAAAAAGAGGAAGACCCCCAAGATGATGGATTGACACAGTGGCAGAAGCAATGAACTCAAAATGTAACAAGTCTGGTGAGAACGGCACCTAAATGGGCAGTGTTTGGTGTGTTGTGCATAGGGTTGCTGTGAGCCTGATCTGAGCTGATGGTGCCTAACAACAAGAGAGGAGTCCTGGAGTGGCACTGTGGGATAATATCCTGTACTGCAAAGTTGGTTTAAACCACAAGGTAGGCAATTCAAGCTCACCGGCCACTCCTCCGAAACCCTACATACATGGTCGCTATGAGTTGGAATGACACAACGGCACTTAACAACAACAGCAAGAAAACAGATCCTAAATGGTTTTTGATTATTGGAAGGATTTTGTATTTTACTGTAAATTGGTTGGCAAGATATTGGAGGGACTGGAAAGGGAAATAACACAATCTGGCGTTTACAACAACAATATGAGTCTATTATCTAGCACAAAAGTCAGTGTGAACCTTTTACACTCTAATAATCAAAAACCATTTGTGATCTGTTCTCTTGAGTTGTTGTTAAGTACCATCGAGTGGGTTCTGACTCATAGAGACCCCGTGTACTCTTTCCAAGAAGCAGTTGGTGAGTAACACGGAAACAAGGCAAATATAGGAAATCTGTAGTAAAAATCCAGGCTGCTACCCTGGGAGAGGATGGTCCTGGAGGTCTTGGTGATAAATGGGTATTGATGGGGATTTGGTGATGAATAGATTCTGGCATGTGAGAAAAAGAGAGGAATTAAGGTTGTCTGCAAGGCTTGGGGTCTGAGAACCTAGCAAAATGCCATTGTCTATCCCTGAGATGGGGAAGAGCAGAGGGTAGGAGTTCTTTTGTTTCGTAGATCTACCCTCTCCCTTATCTCCCAGTCTTGGCAGGAAATTGAAATAGATCTATTACTTCTTTTATTTAAACTATTTTATGCTTGAATGGAAGAATAATGACAATAATTACAATAAGTAATATTTCGTAGCACATTGCAGTGCAAAAGTACTTTAATATCTAGTAATGCATTTTCAATATATGTGATCACATTGAGGATTTCTGCACTTTCTCCTAACCTTCCAAGCAACAGTAACAAATGTTTTGTTTTAAGAAATAAGGTGATTTGTAACAAACTTTAGAATGAATAAAGTTTCTCATGTATTGAAAAAGGTGAACACAGGAAAAGACTGGTTTCTTGGAATATACCAAATAGAGTCATAATGGACTGTAATGAATGGTATTTACTCAACTGTGAATTAATACATATATTCTATAATTTGTCTCTCAGATCCAAGATTCATTAGTGCCCACCTCATCCCAGAGAGTGACAACCCTGAAGATGACAAAGTATATTTTTTCTTCCGTGAAAATGCAATAGATGGAGAGCATTCTGGAAAAGCCACTCATGCTAGAATAGGTCAGATATGCAAGGTGAGGTAAAGACAAAGCTTTGAAAAACAGGTTATTGTGCAATCACAGTTTTTATTTTTTTCTTACTCCTAAGTGCAAGTAAAATTAAATTTGTAAAAAATAAAAAAACATGGACAGATCACAGCAGATATTTAAATGATAAAACAAAAAAAACAAATAAATGATTAGAAGTGCATTGTAGTTTCTTAAGAATAACTCTACATAGCAAAACAAGTAGGAAGAAGTTATGTAATAACTTGTGTTATTTCACAGTAGATTGAATGATCATAGTTTAAACTTCTGGAGAAATATTTTTTCTATTTAATCTGGGAGAGTTCACATACCATTCTACTCTTCTTTGCATTCTCAGGTCTAGCACAGTATTTTACAAAGTATAAACAATGAATGCATATTTGTTAGAATAATTGACTGAGTTTTTAATTTAAATTTTAGAGAAACAAATATTAAAGCTTGTTTTTGCAGATTGATTTTTACATCGTCTGTATGCACTTACTCACACATATAATTTTGAGGTTTATTTTTCTGAATAATTTTATTTATTGTGTGCCATGATATGGCAGCAACTTTGCATTATGGTGTCAAGCATAAAAATTAGAGAAATTGTTTCATAAATACGTATATAAAATACTTGGTATTATTAGCATCAATGTGAAAACATAATAACAATGATTTTTTTTTCCTTATGTAATATGTTGCTAAGTTGTTAAGTGTGTCGAGTTGGTTCTGACTCACAGTGACCCTGTATAGGATTTCTAATGAGCAGCTGATGGGTTTGAACTGCCAACCTGTGGTTCGCAGGCCAATGCTGATCAGACAACACCACACCACTGTGCATAAAACCAAATGTTAGCATGTGTTAAAGCAAATTTCAACTCAAGAAAATGACAAAGGTTGTTCCATCACTTCTTACAATAAAATTGCTTTTTCTAAAAGTATCATATTTTTTCAAAAAATGATCAGGTGTGTTATTGGTAGTTTCTTTCCTACCCCAATCATTGCCCACTTATTTATCTCTAGTATGTTTATTTAATGGACAATTTAAAATTTTGACTATCTTAAAACATACTAATAAAACATAAAATGTATGAGAATATTTTTTCAACAAAACATAAAGGATATTTTTAAACTCTCTTACAGGGATTTAAAAAATCTTTATAAATAAAATATCAATCAGTGTTATATTTTTAAGGATCTAGTTTATATAAATAAAATATTACTCTAAATGACTACAGTTGACACTAAATACATACCATCAAATTGGATTTATTCCTATATTTAGGATAAAGTCAGATTTTATTATGGTGTGGACATACTTTTATAAAATACTTTCTCTGGAATAAGTTTTTATTATTATTATTATTATTAAGCTGCACGCAAATATTTTCTCTACCTGCTATCTACAAAATCAAATTGCTTCAGATATTTAAGATTGTAGAATGTCTGATACCTACAAGTTTTTATTTGAGTTGTATTTTCAGTTTATGTTATGAGGCATGCATTTATTCATCCATTCAATGCTCATCGAATGCCTACTATGTTCCAAGCACTGGCTGTGACCCAGCTTAAGTAGATAAATAAGATCTTAAGGAATGTAAATTATATAGCAAAAATGAACTAACATGAGTTTAATTACTAATTAGAGTGGTAACACAATGGGAAAAGTAGCAATACAACAGAAATGGCTCTTCTATGTTAATAGATATTTATTACAAGTTGTTCCTTGAATAAAGTTTCAGTGAGTGATCCAACCATCAATACAATAAAGAGCCATAGAGTAATATATCTGGTTATTTGAACTGATAATAGAACTTTTGAAAATGAGAAATTGCATTTTCTGTCTATCTCATGATACAAGAAAAAGAAATACTTGAAATGATCATTTACATGAATAGTTCTTAAAACTGACATTTGCTTCTTTCAGAATGACTTTGGGGGCCACAGAAGTCTGGTGAATAAATGGACAACATTCCTCAAAGCTCGTCTGATTTGCTCAGTGCCAGGTCCAAATGGCATTGACACTCATTTTGATGAATTACGTAAGTAGCTGGATGTGTGGTAGAAGGAACTTTGTTCAGACTTTGCCATGACTGCCAAAAATACAACTTCCCACAATTTTGTTTTCAAACAGAGGATGTATTCCTAATGAATTCTAAGGATCCTAAAAATCCAATCGTATATGGAGTATTCACAACTTCCAGGTAAATAAACTTTTTACTACCTTATTGCCATAGAAATTTTGTGTTCTTTTGTTAATTTCCATGTCTCCATAATTTGCAAATAGACATTTTTGAAGGGACAGTGCAGCTTTCACTTTGAACTGTTGTGCTTTTTTGAGTGGTTGAAAGATAAATTTTAGCAAAGAATATAATCATTGAAACTTGAATGGTGAAATGGCTTGTAAACTTTTGTGTCATAAACTTTAAATAGCTTTGACTTTAAAAGTATTAACCGATATACAATATTATTTGTTTAATGTATCAAATCTGTTCTTCAGATGATTTCTAATTCAGGTGGGATATTTTCAAGGTAATATTTTGGCTCTCGTGGACTTGTTTTGATTTTCTTCAGCTTTAGTTTGAGTTTGCATATGAGCAATTGATGGTCTGTTCCACAATCTGCACCTGGCCTTGTTTTGACTGATGATATGGAGCTTTTCCATCATCTATTTCCACAGATGTAGTCAATTTGATTTCTATGTATTTCATCTACCTTTCAAGAGATAGCATATGATCAAGAGCCAATAATCCTGAAGGAAGAAGTCCAAGGTGCATTGAAGGAATTGGTAAAGTACAAGGTACCAAGAAATGATGGAATAAAAATTGAAATCTTCCAAAAAAGTGAGGCAGAACAGGAGGCACTCACTCATTTATGCCAAGATATTTGGAAGACAACTATCTGGCCCACTGATTGGAAGAGATCCGTATTTGTGCCCATTCCAAAGAGAGGTCACCCAAAGGAATGTGCAAATCATCAGACAATATCTTTGATATCCCATACAAGTAAAGTTTTACTAAAAGTAATACGGAAATGGCTGTGAGCATACATTAGCAGAGAACTTCCAGAGGTTCAAACCAGATTCAGAAAAGGCCGTGGAACGAGGGATATCATTGCTGATTTCTGATGGATCTTGGCTGAAAGCAGAGAATATCAGAAAGATGTTTACCTGTGCTTTATTGACTATGCAAAGGCTTTCGATTGTGTGGATCATGACAAGCT